TGAAGGGGCAGCACAGAGTCCTCAACATCATATTCCTGTGCAACCCATATCAAATCAATTAATGATTGGTACACATTGCTCATGGGGAACTCTCATTGGATCTAGATAAGATTTAAATAAATAAACCTAAAAAATTACGGTCAACATTGTAACCAGGAAGTATCATACTGCTCATAAAGAAACTGCCAAACTCTTGACTATTTGAAAAGAAATCCGGTGTGCAAGTATAGATCATTCAAAGTTGTTGCAAATGCAACCGCATAGATGGAAAACAATTGGATAAAGCAAGGAAGAAAATGAAGACATTCATAAATTCATGAATGTTAAGAGATCAAAATAAAAAAAAAAACAAATGTGTGCTAATAATATTCTGCAGGACAGAAAGCACACATTTTCATAATTGTCAAACTATGCAGGTGAAGTAGAATTTTTTGTGTAACAAGCTTATAACAGAAGCTTTACTCACAGCATAATGGAATGCCTGAACATTAGCCATATTTCCTGAGGCTTGATCTGTTGAGATTGCAAAACCAAATCCACCAAGCTTCCAAGCTCCACTTGATGTAATAAAGACATTCTGCAGCAATATGGTTTCACATTCAATTGACATATTCAATATGCATTGAACCTCTAATTTGGAGGACAAGTATGATAACTAATTGGCAAGAAACACACTTATTAGACTCAGTGAGGGACTGATACATAAAGATCAAGCAATAAAATGAAACGAAGTTTTTCCTTAGTAATTATTGTTGTACTTTTATGTGCAAAGGGAAGCGAATTCTAACAAAGTACCATACATCAACTTCGTAGGCGAATGCGAAGAAACAAACAATCTAAAAATATGGATACATGAGATTTAACGTGGTTCGGCGTAAAGCCTATGTCCACGGGCAAAACATGGCAAGGAATTTCACTATACAACCAGAGATTACAAAATAGTGTTTAAACTCTCACAATCCAAATCCCACAAATTACAAACCTAAACCAGTAGAGAACACAAAACTAACAGAGAAGATTCTCCTAAATTGTTCTCTAACTCACAAACTCACAAATTGAGTCTCACCAAAATGTCACACAAATGAGCCACACAAAATAAACTAACCCTATTGTCCTATTTATAGAGCACAGGACTTAGGTTTACATAGAATCCTAATAGGAAGTAAATCCAAACCCTAATCAAATAAATTTAACAAAAACTCTCCACCAAATAAGGAATCCAACCAAGAAGTCAAATCCAAACCCAAAAAGTTTACCAAATGAAATAGGTAATACAAACCTAATTTCTGCATCATCCTAATGTTGAGACGCAAAACCCAACAATTATACCTTCACGCTACAGAGGACAACAAGGAAAAGTATTCTGCTAGACATTCTAGCCTCAAGATTAACAAGAGATAAAATATCTACAAAGAGTTTAAATTTTGACAAATTTCACTTCTAAATATTTGAAATATTGTGAAAACAAACAAAGAAGAAGTTGTAACCTCAGGTGATATGGCCCGATGAATGAGACGCGCATTGTTATGAAGAAAGTCTAAGGATTCTGCTATCTGGAGCAAACCATGCTTCACCTCCAATATACCCATTTCCTGCAAAGCAAAAATCCTTTTGAGCAAGCTATGATATCACAGGATGATTCAGAATATAGCACATGACAGATAGGAGATTGACTAAAGAAAATGCACTTTCTGTAGAATAATATTTTCCAGAACATTCTCCCCTTGGAGAGAGAAAATATCCAGCCCATTAAAAATTTACAAACTAGATCAATTTAAGTGGGCATACATCTAGACGCAAGAAGGAGCACATCATATTCGGAATACGAACAACTTGGTTGTTCTACAGAGCATCCGCTTATTAACACTAATAAAATGTATCATTCTCAAAATCACACAGCTAAATTCGAATTCAAGTCGGTTACTTTACTGGTGATCCACATAAAAGAAACTGAATACGGCCGAGCATTTAACTGTTTTAAACTACATTCCAATATTCACAAGGTCCATACGAATCCAATCCAAACATGCATTCACTAAATTACCGAAATTACACTATCGAAACTTGAAACCAGCATAAAAGGAAACAGTTGAAGCCCACCAGAGCCTACCTACCATTCCTTTAAGCTCCTTGGGCACCTTAGCCACATTCTCCACATTCCCAAGCGCATTTGCCACAGACGCAAACAACGGCTCCGTCACCATTGCCATGGCATTCTTGTTCTCATCCAGAGCCTGCACCACGTGCACCACCCCGGGGTGCCTCAGCCTCACCAGCCTCGCCGCATCAGCTCGAATGATCTCCAAAAACCCATCTTCCGCCGCCTTGGGCAATCCGGCGCGCATGCGCGCCTCCGACAGAGCCTTCTTATCCAAAACCCAGACGCAGACGGTGGGGTACTGGTGCGCGCGCGTAGACTCACGAGCCGCCTTGGCCGAATAGAGCTTCCAGACCAGGCCCGGTCCGGCGGACCCGATCTGGTCGAAGAGCTCGTGGTCCTGAAGAGGCTTGGGTCCGGCGACCTCCTGGACCGTGGTCTGTACGGTTTTTTCGATGACCGCAGCGGTCTTGGCGAGGGCTTGTGTTAGGGTTTTCATATTGAGAGACATCTTGGGACGAATGGAGGAATTGCAATGTGTATGATGGAAAACAAATCAATATAAAAGCAGTGTTGGTATGGGTGTATGTAATCTGCGAGAATTGGGAAGGAAGTCTAGGGTTTTGGGTTGACGACGACGGAGGAGAAGGTGGAGGGAATTTGGAAGCTTTCCTCAGATCATCTGCTTTCCAGTTTCCACCTCCCTCTCTCTCTCTGCGTAGTTCTTTTATTTTCTTTTCTTTAATTTTTTTAATTTTAAAAAATGATTTTTCAAATGTTTCGGGACAAAGTTCTCTCTCCGGGCACGGGCAGTTTGTTGCTGTTTTCAGTTGGCCTCTGTTGGGTTTAATTAATTAAATTTTAATTTGTTTCTGATTATTTAGGTGAGATGCTTGAGTCACACGTGGCGGCCAGCTTATATTTGGATAGTCGGTGGGTGGGTTGGGCTTTATATAGCTAGTTAAGTGTAAAATTTGGATCAATGATATATGAGCCCTTGGACACTTTTGAAGTAGGGGTACACGAAATTTTAAGTAGGCCCATATACACGATGTTTCGCAGATTTTTTTTATCTTTCCACTCTTTGTTAATTTTTTTTTTCTATTGTCTTAAATTCATTCAATCGGACTAGATAGATAACCGTGATTTGTCATCCATTATTCTTCTTTTTAAGAAGAAAGAAAAATTTCATTCAATTGGACGGTCGAAAAAAAGATGTATGTGTGAAGAGCAGCACCCGTAAATAAATTTTTTTTTTCTCTTTTTAAAAAGGGGGACAACTGGTGGCAAACCAAGGTTATCCACCTCTTCTAGGGGCAGGGAAGACTCAAAAGCATTTCAGCCTCCCATGGCCACAAGTTTGGCTTCCACACCAGCAGCGGGTTTCGAACCCAAGGTCTAAAAAAGGTCATACCCAGTGCACAAGGCTCCCGCTTTACCCAAGGTCTCCAGTTTTTAATTTGAATGAAGCATCGCAATCCGTCATTTACCACTAGGTCACCAACTCGTGATTTCGTAAACAAATATAGGGTTGATTACATTGTTCACCCTTTAGGTTTGGCATTATTTTCAAAATGAGGCATGAAGTTCTAATTTTCTCACGTTACACCCTTGAGGTTTTGAAATTGTTTCATTTACATCTTTCATCTCTTTGAATATCTAACCCTCTCTTGAATTGATGAGTTGTTTTTGTGAATATAGTGTAAATGTGGCTTCAAGGTTAGCTCAAGGAAATGATGTTGCCCATTGTTTGGCTGAATAATGTGTTGTCTATTGTTCATCGTCGTGTACATGGTTGGAGGATTGTTGATTTGTTGTAGGAAGATGAAGAGAGTCTGAACTAGAAGCCTCAACTCTCTCTCTCTCTCTCTCTCTCCCCCTCCCTCCCTCCCCATTGTGATGTACTAGCATTAACAATGTGATAAACTAGTGCATCGTCATGTAATGCACTAGCACCGACCAAATTCAAAACGTAACGTGTAAAATACAAAATTTGAAATATACATTCAACTACTAAACCACCAGCTAGAGGTTTTGAATCCTAGCTTTCTTGGTATGTAAATTTTGTCAGCCACAAGTTGGGTATTCTAAAAGAGTTGTTTAGTTAGAAGCAAGTAGCCACATATTATGGATCTAGATCCAACCGACATAAATGTAAGCCGATAAGCTTGACCATTTTTTTCTTCTTTTTGACAAGCTTGACCATTTGATTAACTCCATCTTAATCGCCGCTCTTAACCTTTTATAATTGCAGATAAGACCATAAGATTATGTCCATGCTCGGTGTGAAAGAAAAACTTACATAGAACAAATTTACAGTCATGTGATTTTTTTGTTCACTAACACATCATTATGTGAAGAAAAATTTACACATAACAATGTATTATTGAACAAAAAATGTCACGTAGCAATAAACCGATTACATATCAATCATTTTCCTAATTTAGGAGAAGAAGTCATACTATTTTAATGGGAAGAGAATTTGAGTAAAAAAAAAAATTATTTGATTTTAAATTCACTTTTCCATTTTTCAATGTATCTAACTTAGGATTTGGATAGACATCTTGGGACATGACGATCTATTAATACAACAACGTAACGTGATGTAAGTTGTAGGAATTAGTTTCACTTTCACATAAAGAAATTGTTATTCGTATTTCAAAAATTTCATTTAGCATTCCAAATTTTTTATAATTAAAAAAAATACACTTGTAATAAGTATAGAATGAAATTTTTGAAAGGATAATAACAATTCCCTCACATAATATAAGCTCTCTTACTTTACACTCTGGAGCACGTGTATAAATCACATAACTCAGAAAGTTGCAAAGTTTGGTGAAAATCAGCAGAACCAAAGTCAAACTTGTCTCATGTCTTATGTCCTATAAAAATCTCTTTGGCTTTACTTCATTCTGCAACTTTCCATTTTTGCCATATTTGGCTGTCTCAGAAACAATAATATTGAGCATGAAAAACCTCCCCCTCCTCTTCCTTGCTATCCTCACCTTCAGTTGCCTGAACCCCGTTTCCGCAGCCTGCCACGTCGACGACGAAGCGGGTCTGCTTGCCTTCAAATCGGCCATCACAGCCGACCCATCTAACAAGCTAAGCTCATGGATAAAGGGTACAGACTGCTGCACATGGGCGGGTACAAACTGCCTCAACAACCGGGTCACCAGCCTCTCCCTCTCGGGTCAACCCGACAAGCCCAGTACTTACTTATCCGGTCAAATCTCGCCCTCCCTCTCCAAACTCAAATTCTTGAACGGCATCTATCTCCAAAACCTTAACCTCTCGGGTCCCTTCCCGGATCTCCTATTCGGACTACCCGACCTCAAATACGTCTACATTGAACACAACAAGCTCTCGGGTCGAATACCCAACACTATCGGCAACTTAACCCAACTCGAAGCACTCAGCTTTTACTACAACCGGTTCACCGGTCCAATTCCGAGTTCAATCTCCAAGCTGACCCGGCTCACCCAGCTCAACCTTGGCGGCAACATCTTAACCGGTTCGATCCCATCCGGCATTCAAAACCTCAAGAACCTCACCCTCTTCAACCTCGAGCAAAACGGGTTGTCGGGTCCCATCCCCGATTTCTTCACATCGTTTCCGGAGCTCCGAGTCCTCAGACTCTCCGGCAACTACTTTACCGGGAAAATCCCAGCTTCAATTTCCGCTTTGGCGCCAAAACTGGCCTACCTGGAGCTCGGCCACAACGCCCTGACCGGCCAAATCCCTGATTTTCTCGGCAATTTCAAGGCCCTCGACACCCTCAACCTCTCTAGCAACAAATTATCCGGCGTCGTGCCTCAGAAGTTCGCGAATCTGACCAAGATCTTCAACCTCGATCTTTCTCGTAATTACCTCACCGACCCGTTTCCGGAACTGAACGTGAGAGGCATCGAGTCCCTGGATTTGTCGTACAACAGCTTCCATCTGAAGCAAATTCCAAAATGGGTGACGTCGTCGCCGATCATCTACTCTCTGAAGCTCGCAAAGTGTGGGATCAAGTTGAAATTGGACGACTGGAAGCCGGCGGAGACGTATTTCTACGATTACATCGATTTATCAGAGAACGAGATTTCGGGGAGTCCAGTCGGGCTGCTGAACAGGACCGATTTCTTGGTGGGGTTTTGGGCTTCTGGGAATAAGTTGAAGTTTGATTTGGAGAAGTTGAGGATTGTGAAGACGTTGAAGTATTTGGACTTGTCGAGGAATTTGGTTTTCGGGAAGGTGCCGAGTGGAGTTTCAGGGCTGGAGAGACTGAACGTCAGCCACAATCATCTTTGCGGACCGCTTCCGGCCACCAAGTTTGGTGCTTCGGCGTTTCTGGGGAATGATTGTCTCTGTGGTGCTCCACTAGATCTCTGCAAGTAATGAGGCAAAACCCTAGCAATAAGGTTTCGGTGGGAAATAATGCCACGTGACTGATGGCTTAGTTTTCGTGAGGACAATAAAAAGGAAAATGAATTATGAAATGGATTTACAGTGGTGTGTTAATAATAATATGTCGTATCGTATGTAAGGTTTTTTCTTCACGTAATATATTGATATTATTAGACTCCAACGTTACATATAATCAACTCGTTTTGTACAAGTTGCTTCAAGAAAATTATAGAAAGTGTAATTTTGTTATGCTGTATGTTATTGTAGAGTTAAGGATGTTTACTGTTAAACAAAACTAAAAGGGAATGGAAATGAAGGGAAAAATTTACTCTTTGGGAAAATCATCATTTTTTTCCTTTTCATATGATTTCTTTTGGCATCTGAAAGGGCAAATGCTCTATCTTGCCCATTGGATTCACCAGTTCCATTATCATATCTGTTTTCCTAATACAGCATCCTTGGTGAATGATGGTCATTGTTTTATGGTGCCCCTTGTTTTAAGCATGACCCAAAAAGTGGATCAAAAACATAATTGGGTGTTAGGTGTTGTTTTGTTAAATGTTTAAAAGTAAGGTAATGATATTCTCATCATAATTTTATACCACATTTCTTTACTATTTTAGGTGGCAAATAAGTTGAACAAGCCACATCATTTAATTTCAATTTTCTTATTAATTAAAACATTTAAATAAGAAAAATTGCAGACTTCAAGATCTCCCTCTGATGTTAGTAACTTAATTGGGTATGACCCCTAATTCGATAACAAATTTGATTTTGACTCTTAATTCGCATGAAAGCTAATAGGCATTACTTAATGAAATAATCAAATGAAATCTGTCATAGCCCGTCCCAAAATAAATTATCGATGATGTGAGTTGACTATTTTACCCTTGGACGTGAGTGTTGTGGTGTGTATTATGCTTGCTAATGGTGGTCCAAACTTATATTTTTCCTTAATTTTTGGACCAAATTGGAACTTAGTTTTTGTGGTTTTGGTTGGTGACCCACGTGGACCACTCACACACATACACAAACTCTTCCTCTTTCTCTCTCCCGTGCGTTCTCTCTCCTTCCTCTAGGATTTTTCAGAAAATCCATACAAAACGTACGGACGAACTTCAAAACCAACCTTTCACGCGCAAATCAAGGGTTCAGAGGGCACCATTGTGTTCTTGAGGTTCATACGAGTTGAATGGTACCATTTTTAGGTAAGAACTTATTCGAAAACTCGTGAAAACCCTAACTTGATTTATGTCACTATTCATGCAATCGTAAAATTTTGTGTTTTTGGGGATTTCAAGCTTATAGGTAGCTTAAGGAGGTCCTCACGAGGCCCGGAGTGGTTCGTTGGAAGAATTTGGACGTCGGATTATTGAGAACGACGAGTTTTAAGAATTGCCGGAATATTAAGGTTTTTTCCGGTGGGTTTCCGGTGGTTTCAGGGCTCGACTCAGGTATGGTTTTGTTCGTCTTGGTGAGATCTTCAAAATGGTTCAAGTTTCATGAAGTTTGGTGTTAAATCGAGAGAGATATAAGGTTTTGAAATAAAACCCAGAAACCGGCGAAGTCGTCGGCATCCGGCGACTCGTCGGAGAAGATGAAGGCATATTCCGTCAGTTTTGACGGAATATGCTAACGACGTTAGATGACGCCATTAATAATTAACGGAATATGCTTGATTTTGGACGGAATATTCCTGACGGCGTTAACTGTGGCCGTCAGTGTGCCTGGCACATGCCCGCACGTGGGTTGTGCGTTGGCGCGTGGCGGCGCGTGAGACGTCGCAAATTTTTTCTAAAAATATGGGGATGTTCGTGAGGTTGTGTAGATCACGTTGGTATATTTAAACATCCCATTTGAGCAATGTATGAGAAGTTATTAGCTAGTATTGGTTATGTGCTTTAAATTAATGTTTTTATAGTTGTTTCGCATATAATGGAGACTTATCTTGAGGACGAGCGCAATTAAGGGCGACTCGGGGGTTATGACCCTTCGACATACCAGTGAGTGGACTTTTGGTTTTCAGTATATACTTATATACTTTGTTTGTACCATACTTGACCAATCCCGAAACTACTGAGCACCGGTCAACGTTATACCGTCAAGGACCCAGAAGAGTTTCCCTCCAACCAGGAGGCCAATCACAGCGCGACACATGTTGACATCAGAAGCCAATCATAGTGCGACACGTGTCAACATCAGAAGCCAATCACAACACGACACGTGTCAATGTCAGAATGAAACTAGAAACTCTCTTCTATAAATAGAGATCATTCTCTCACAATATTTCCTAATGTCATTTGTACTAAATCATTCACTAGTACTCACAAAAGGAGAGCTTGAACCTATGTACTTGTGTAAACCCTTCACAATTAATGAGAACTTCTCTACTCCGTGGACGTAGCCAATCTGGGTGAACCACGTACATCTTGTGTTTGCTTCCCTGTCCCTATCCATTTACTTACTTATCCACACTAGTGATAGGAGCAATCTAGCGAAGGTCACAAACTTAACACTTTCTGTTGTACCAAAGTCCTCGCTGATTTTGTGCATCAACATTTGGCGCCATCTGTGGGAACGACACTTATTCCCACTTTCTTCAGCTTTGTTAAGCTGGTTTCCACCATTCGTACACTCTCTTTTGACCAGGCATCCCTCTCCAACATGGGGAGCAAAGGAAGCCACAACACGCAGAATGACACCCCTCTTGCACTTGGTGCGAGGCAACGAAAGAAGGAAGGAAAGAGGGTTGCTCTTTAAGCTAAAGTCGATGAGCTAAAAGCTCAGAACAACAAGATAACAATGAAGAATAAGGTCCTCCAAGAGCAGAATGAAAAGCTCTTTGAGACGCTCCATGAAACTAAGCGTACTTAAACACGGGAGCTCGTTACCCCTGTGGACATCAACCATCATCTGGGTGCCCCTAACACGGAGGGTCGCCTTCCTTCGACATGGGTATCCCTGATGAGGAGCGAGCTAATCATCAAAACATTGATCAACATGAGACTTCTCTCAACCCAGCTGTTTCGACCCGAAGTAGGAGAAGTGGAGGAGACACTTCCTTACAAAAGGAGTGAAAGGATCGAAAGTCGTCTTTTGAAACTGTCGAGATTTCCTAAAGCAACGTCGAGACAATCCCATCTATGTAAGCTCGAAGATCAATGACCTAAGGGTCTCTGAAAGACTCGGTCCCCTCCCATGTCCCAGACCGGCTACCAATTTGGGGAAAGGGCAACAAGTCCTAGAGAAACACGAAGGTATAGGGGACTCAGAGATGTTTCGACAGACATACCTTGGAAGTCAGTACGGCGAGTCTAGGGAAAAATCACATGCTCTTGATCAAACCTTCATACTTATAAGAGAAGATGGAGATTTACGAAAGAAAGCTCCAGTGGTACATGACTCCACTCAGGACCCTCTTGTCCTAAAACTTCTTAAGGAAGTAATTAAGTTGAAGGCCGAACGACAAGCTGAGATACCTGATTGGAACCAACCTAGGCCTGGCCCTCTTACAAGGAGGATCCTCGACACCCCCCTCCAAGCAAAGACAAAACAGAAGCTTGGCTTGCAACTCTATACTGGAAAGAAGGACCCGATTGAACACCTTAACCTTTTTTAGTATACCATGGCATACCAAATGCACACCAATGAAGAGCGATGTCTTCTCTTCCCCTCTACCCTCTCTGGTGGAGCTCTAAACTGGTATTGCCGTCTTCCATCTGAGACGGTAGACTCATTTGAGGAATTGAGGAAACTGTTTGTTTCTCAACACATTTTCCAGACCGATCGCTTACACTCTGCGGACGACTTATACAATATTCGCTAAAAGCCAAACGAGTCATTACGTATGTATGCTGGTCGCTTCAGCCATGAGTATTCCCGTTATGCCGAGGCAGACGACAAGACTACCCTCAAAGCCTTCATGTTAGGCCTATGTGACTGTTTCTTCAAGTACATGATCAATGCCAACACTTGGAAGACTTACTCTGAGGTGATGGCACAGGCTTACAACCATGCCTCCGCCGAGGCAATGACATATCAAGGGAAACCCCTACAGCCACCCCTTATCAGCAAGTAGGGAGTGGAAACCAGATCCAACCAAATGAGAAAACTTCGACCCTTCAAACTGTTGGAAGTATGCCCACAAAGCCACTCATTTGATGTGATAGCTTTTTGGAATACTTATTATGTTAAACTTTTATATGTTTAATGGAGGGCAAATCTTATTGTTAATCACTGTTTATTGTATCATGTGTTTAAGCAATAAGTGAATCCAAGGAATGTATTTGTTCTAAGAGATAAGTGATCTAAGTGAGTTAGATTATCGAGACCTTTCTCTTATGTTCATTCCTAAAACGTTCCTAGCCATAGGATTGCCAATTGGGCATTGACAATCCGTTAAGGTTAGTATGTGTTATGTTGACTCAAGTGTGAGTATGACTAGTCTCAAGTGATTTGGTGTTGGACACTAAGACAGACACATAGGTGCTCGAAATAGTAATCTAGTACACTGAACTACGATCAAATCAGAGTTTGAACATACATGTCATGTAAGAACTCTAAGGTTGCAATATGCAAAGTAGTCCTTTGACCTGAGGCATCATAGATGTCTAATGGTTAGGTCCTTGATCTTTGATCCTGTCAACGGCATTCCCTCGGAGTGTCCACGGCATTGTTGGGGTCAAGCTATCTAGTCATGTAGGCATATGAATGTACAACAAGGGATCTCTAACCTTCCATGGTGGAGGGAGAATACTCTAAGATATGATTCTAAAGTCTTTGGCCAAAGCAAATGAATATGACTAAAGGAAGGTTGTTCCAAATCATATTCAAGGGAATCATATAAGAAAGAATCGTATTGGATAGTAGACATGAAACAAACTATCACTTAAACAATGTGATTAAGAGTATTGTATTAGAGAAGGACCGTATTGCATTGTAGTTGTAACTGGATAGGTTCTCCAACCAATTCTACTTAGCTTGGGTAACCATGACATGCTGCTAGGCGTCAACCATGGTTTGTGGAAGCCCTAATGGTTAGCAAACACTAATCAATGAAAGGGAGAATTGAAATGTGGTTTCAATTCATAATCGATAGTTAAAAGTAACATCGCCCACTGCCTCGCTAATTAGAACCTAATGGATCGTAACACCGAGTAAGGATGTATGTGAAGAAATCAAATGAAATGGATAAGCAATTAAATGGTTTAATTGAAGAATGGTCAAGATTAATTAATTAGTTAATTAAT